TTTGATTGCCGCTGTAACAAATTTTCAATAGCTTAGACAACGCTGGGCATGGTGGCTCACGCCTATAATCCCAGCACTTTGTGAGGCCGAGACCCGTGGATCGCTTGAAGTCAGGAGTTCAAGACCAGCCTGGTCAACATGGTGAAATCCCCTCTCTACTAAAAATACAAAAATTAGCCAGGTGTGGTGGTGCACACCTGAAATTCCAGCTACTCGGGCCGCTGAGAGGAGGCGGAGGTTGCAGTGAGCCAAGATCACCCCACTGATCTCCAGTTTGGGCGACACAAGTGAGATTCCATCTCAAAAAATATTTTTATAGCTAAGACAATTTTTGGAAAAGAAGAATAAAGTGGGAGGAATTGCTCTACCACATTTCAGTACTTCTTACATAGCTACAGGAATCAAGACTGTAGTATTGGGAGAAGAATAGACACATAGATCACTGGAACAAAATAGAGAACCTAGAAATAGCCCCACACTGATTTTTTACAAAGAGACAAAAAGAAGGAAGGATCGTCTGCTTAACAAATGGTGCTGGAGCAGTTGCATATCCATAGGCAAAAAAAAATAAAAATAAAAAAAAAAGACCTAATCTTCATATTTTTATACCAAAAAAACCTCAAGTGGATCATAGATTTAAATCTAAAATATAAAACTAAAAAACAAACTTTTGCAGGAAAGCACAGGACAAATGTCTGAGATCTAGGGCATAGTCAATGGTTCAAAAAGCACAATCCATAAGGAAAACAAATAAATTAGATTACATCCAATTTAAAACTTGTGCTCTGCAAGAAACCCTGTTAAAAGGACGAAAAAACAGGGTCTGGACTAGGAGAAAATGTCTGCAAATCACATATCCAAGAAAGGACTCACATCCAGAATATATAATGGATATGTGTAGTACTCTCAAAACTCAACGGTAGGCTGAGCGTGGTGGCTCAAGCTTGTAATCCCAGCATATTGAAAGGTCAAGGTGGATGGAGGGCAGATCCCTTGAGGTCTGGAATTGGAGACCAGCCTGGGAAACATCGCAAAAACCCATCTCTACTAAAAATACAAAAATTAGACTGGCATGATGATGCCCGCCTGTAATCCCAGCTATGTGGGAGGCTGAGACATGAGAATCATTAGAACCTGGGAGGCGGAAATTGGAGTGAGCCAAGATCGTGCCACTGCACTCCAGCCTGGGTAACAGAGCAAGACTCTGTCTCAAGAAAAATAATAATAATTAAAAAAAAACCTCAATGGTAAAAAATACAAACAAATAATCCAATTAGAAAATCATGAAAAGATGTGAACATACATTTCACTGAAGAGGAAACAAGCAAATAAGCACATGAAAAGATGCTCAATGCTCATTTGCTTCATTAGATACAAACTAAGACCATGATGTGGTATCACTACACACTTATTACAATAGCTAAAATAAAAGACATAGTGAGAACACCAAATGGTGACAAGGATGCGGAGAAACTGGACATCTAGTAAAATGCTTCTGGGAAGGTAAAATCTTACAGCCACTCTGGAAAGCAGTTTGGTAGTTTCTTATAAAATGAAACATGTAATGACCATACAATTCAACAATTGCACTTCAGAGAAATTAAAACGTATGCCTATCCAGAAACTTGTACATAATTGTTCATAGCAGCTTTACTGTAATAGCCAAAAGCTGGAAATAATCAATATGTTCTACAATAAGCAAATGGTTGAACTGTGGTACATCTGTACCGTGGAATACTACTCAGTAATAAAAATGAACTACTGACTGGGCCCAGTGGCTCACCTGCTTGGGAAACATAGCAAAAGGCAGGGTATTGCATGCCTGTAATCTCAAAGCTGAGGTGGGAGTATTGCTTGAGCCCAGGGGATCGAGACCAACCTGGTCAACATAGCAAAACGGTCTCTACTAAAAAAATCAAAAATAAAAATTTTAGTCGGGGTGGGGTGGTGCATGCCTGTAGTCCTGAGATAGAGGCAGAAGGATTGTTCAGTGTGCTGGGATTACAGGTGTGAGCCACTGCTCCTGGCTGATTGCTGCATCTTGAAATGCCCCACATTCTCTCTAAGTGATGGCGGGCTCTTGTAGTCTCAGAAATTCTAGCTCTCTTCCTTCTAATAATTTACAAGTCACCCATTAATAGCCTCTAAACCCGTTCATATTAGAGATACTCATTTCTCTTCAACAGAACAGAACCCCCCATCCCTCTGCCTGAACAGATCCATCACCAGAGAGACCATGTTATCTCTGGGACTTTATATATTGAGTGGGGGTGTCAGAACGCCCCCACTCAATACAATTACACAGTCACATCTCTGCCTCCCCAACAGGGGTCTGTACATCTTTCAGGGTAAGCCTAGTTCCGGGGAAACTACTAACAACAGTAGCCAACCCCCTCCCAAAGACTCAAGGCTGCTATGCCCATAGGAAACCTGTCATCCCCAATCAACACTTCTCCCAGAGACCCCTGGCTCCCTGTTTCCATCTGACTTCTCCCCTTACTCACGGACAGATAAGCCCTGGATGGAGAAATGCAACACCTGATTCCAGGTGACTGAGTGTGACCGGCCTTCACAGATTTCTCCCTAAAGACTCAGGCTGTTTCTCTTGCAGGTCAGACTGGTCTTGGTGCCGTTAATAGAGATGACGCCTGTGCAAAGAGGCCCAGGGATGATGCTCAAATACCAGAGAAGATACAAAAGATGAGGTGACCTGGAGGGGCAAAGCAGTGGCCCAGGGGACAGTGGGAGTGAGCAGGTTTCTGAGGAGGGGAGGACAGAGATACTGGGGATAAGGAGCAGGGTCTCGGGGGAGATCTGGACCCTTGGGAGCCTCCCACCCTCACTCTGTCATCACCCAGTATCCCTGGAGACAAGTCTGTGATCTTGCACTTCATTTGGTGACTCTCAGTCCATTCTGGAAGGTGGGAAGAGAGTCAGCCAGCAGCATTAAAGCCCTACTGTGTGGCAGAGTACAAGCTAGTGTAGGTCCCCCATGTTCTGTCAGTTAGCCATGGCATCAACCAGGACAGATTATCATCCCCACTTCCCAGATTCAGCACACAGGAAGCGGCTCCAGCTGAATGGCAGACATCCCTAGCTGAGACACTGCCAGAATTCCTTTTTCTTTTTTTCCTAGGCCTTTGATGATATTCCCGAATATTTCTCTAAGAAAAAGTGGGAAAAGATGAAAGCCTTGGAGAAAATCATCTCTGTGTGTATGAAGAGAAAGTATGAGGCCATGACTAAACTCAGTAACAGAACGTTCTAGGCACACACAAGTCTGGGGACACGTGAGCATCCCTTTTTCTGCTTTGGCTACTTTTAGGCTGCAGAAAGTACCCCACATTTTCCTTTTGTGAAGAGAAAATTTGCAAGACAGCTTCTGGGTGTCCTGCTCTTCTGTATCCTGTCAGGGCCGAGGGCAGGGACTGGCCACAGTGGAGCTCATACCTGTATCCTGCACGTTTCTCTCCCTTAGGCGTCTGTTCTGATGAGCCCAACTGTCTCTGTGGCATCCTGGCACCCTATCCCCAAACCCCCAAACACACACACCTATCCTACCATCTTTCTCTTGGCTTCTCTCTCTCTCTCTCTCTCTCT